CAACTTAAAGCTAAGAATTACAATGACAAGATAAAATAGATTTCTCCTAATAGATTAGTTAATGTCCAAATAATTAGTAAAAGAGGATCTGGTTCTGTATTTTTCATAATGTAGTTAAGAAAGATTATATACACTATTGATTGTAGTTATATAGATCACGTATATCCTATGTATAGTTGTTCTTAAAACTTTGTCTGGTTCACGAAAAAATTTTCTAAGAGAATTTATAAAATTATATGGAATTTAGATTAAACGAATGATGATTCAGATTTAGAGCATTGTTATGGCTAAGATGTTTACGGGAAAACCTCCTCGTTTTTATTGTGAAGATGAAGAAATGTTAGCTATAAAAATATATAATGGATTGCATCCCAAAGACACTTCTGAGTATTATATTTAATTAGCAAATCAACATATGGATGCTATTTCGTTTAATAGACCAACTGCATATAACATTTGTAAAAGAACTACCAAAGATGGTATAAAATATTAGATGATAGTATAGGTGATTTCATTAATTCTACAAAGTTTCTGTCAATAAATATTCTCATCTAAATAAGAAGCCAAAACTGTCAATCAGTCAAAAGCAATCTCTTTTACAATATTCCATATACTGATCACCACTTAGGCAGAAACTCAAGTTTGGAAAGCAAGAATGAAGCTAGGATGAAAGTTCATAAAGAATTATCTACAGAATACTATATGATGAGAGATTAGGAGATATGTTGTGCTTAAATTCGTAATTAACTGAAAATGAATAAGAAGTTACCTACGAATTAAAGAATTATATCACTAAAAGAATTATGATAACAAATCGAATATAAGCAACACAATCGAAATTAAAAAAAAAAATAAATTGTTAAGATTTAAATCATACCAAATTCGATTATAAAGATGTGATCCTGGAAGAATCACATAAAACAGGAGAGTAGTATATAAAGGTTATAGTTTTAAATTTTTTTTAAAAAAAAAAAAATAATAATATTTTATTAACATCTTATACGAAGAATTAATATGGTTTAAAATTGAATCTTTCAATAATCATATCTTATGATTTTCTTACAAAACACATATATGATCAAAGAACACTATTCTGTATATATCTCTTTAATCATGGCCATCATGTGACACTGTCATCGAAACAAAAATTTTGAAAATTGGAATAAGATCCCCTATAAAAAATAGATTTACTATATATATAATGAAACTAAGAAAAATCTTTTTTCTCTAATAATTTCATTAGAGCTTCATAATGAGCTTCTGTCTTTATTCTACTGTAATCATTCTCTTCTCTTTCAAACCAAGAGATCTCAGATCTACTACTTCCTCCTGCTTCTTCAATATTCATTTAGATTTCATCTTCGTTATCCTCCATACTATTAGAATCTATATCTTGTTCTTGTTCCTATTCTCTATATGCAATTTTGTTTAAGTATTCAACCTGCTTCTATTTTTCGTTCTTTAATAGACGAAATCTACTAGATTCAGTGGCTCCGCT